GTTCCTCAGCACGCCAGCCCGGTGGAGCCAGGGCCCAGCGCTGCAGCCCTGGCCCGCACCTGCCTCCACCCCGGCCTCACGCAGCCCACCACAGGGGCAGAAGGGGCTGCTCTGGGGCGCAGGGGTCCCCCCTGGGCCTCTCCGGCCCCCAGCCGGGCAGCATCACCCTCACCCGGTGCCAGCGGAGCAACCGGGCTGCCCCCAACACCCTCCTCTGCTCGCGCTAGCCGTGCCGCTGCGTTAATCCACTGCAGCGCTGAGCCTCCCTCCCGTTAACAGCACCGGGGCAGAGAGAGCCGGGCACCCCCAGGAGGGGACTTACACTGTCTGAACCCAAACCTGGGCACCTGTCCTCATGGAGCACAGAGGTGCTGTTTTACAGCACTGCGGCTGCTTTCTCCGTTTAGGCAAAAGAGTGACACAAGGTTAAAACCAGCCATTTGGGACAGGATCGTGTTTATTCACAACCGGCAGAAGTCAACTGGCTTATTGCTTGCAACCAACTTCATTTTTTCCAAAGAAACCAAGTTCCCCCCCAACCGGACACTGTTTCGGAGCCCCGCACAAAGAGAGATTTACCTTGTACACGTCCTTTATCATCCTCACTTTCTGTCCTGAGAACGGCCCCGCTCACCACCGCTTCCTCCCCTGAGACCTTATGCTACCAACGTGGCTTTTGCCATTAGTCTAGTTAACGGACAACCTATCAAATGCCAAAGGTTATCACACGCTGCATTTCGTACACGTTATTTGTTTGAAAGTCTTGGGATCCATGGGGCTCACCGAGAAGACCAGCTGCAGCTGACAGCCATGGAAGACAAAGTGTTCAGTGAGCAGCTCCGCTGCGGCAGGCTGTGAAGGAGCACTCACTCCGTACGAGTCAGTCCCGACAAGCTCTGGCAGAAGGTGCGCGCACACCACCACAGCGCATCGGGCTGGTCGCTGCATCCAGGGAAGGCAGCGGTCTTGCTCTAGACTTGTGCAAAAAACTCTGGGACAGGAGTGGACGTGCGAGTGTTTAAAGTCACCCTGCTCCCAGCACAGTGTTCCCAGCACTCGTGAAATCCCTGCAGACAGCGGGACGGCAGGTCTCACCCCAAGCTGAGGCCAGCACTCGCACCTCCCTTCCCCATCCAAACCCCTGCCACAGCCAGCGCTACGGGGAAAGCGCGCAGCAGGCTGGGTGTGTCCGACAAGACTCATAATTGCAGTTTGCAATGAAGAAAGCGTGGACGCCGCGTGCTGTTACAGAGACCAACGATTCCCACTGTAAATCCCGGCTGTATGGAGCAACCAGCTCTGCCAACCACCCCCTCTGGTTTGCCCAGCAAGCCTCTTTCTAGGCTAGAACCCAAACTCCAGTGAGAGTTAGTCATGCTGTCTAGAGTGACTCTGCCTTCCCCAGGACACCTCTGCATTACTCAGAAGCACCTGCCTCGTCCTGCATCAGCGCTTCAGCGTTCAAAGGATACGCTGTGCAGGAGCTACGACCAACCGAGAGCCGAGACATCTCCCAGCAGGGCCCAGTTTGGTCCAGGGCAGCTACCCCCAGTCCCACCGGTCACAGCACCGATTGCCAAGAGCCCCAGCACTGACAGAGCCGCTTTCTCCATCACCGGGTCCATAACGATCGATCCACAAGATTAACGTAACAATACAGACTGTTGCATGGGGGACACAGGCTCTGTGACAAAGCTGCAGAGAAACAACCCCGGGCTCGCAGGCGTCACCTCCCCAGTCACGCAGCTCCGCGGTGGCTGAGCTGCTGCACAAGGAGAGGAGACGGCAGAGCTCGGTTAAAGCCAGCCGGCACTTCGCCTTGAAGAAAGTCCTTTCCCAGACGGAAAGACCTCGCCGGGACATCCCCGCTCAATGCAACCTGCGGAGTAGCCCAGCCAGGACCCCGCTGGGGAAGCCCCCGCTTAAAACACCCTGTCGAATTCAGTCTGGTTGGTGGCGGCCGGGTTCCTGCCCTGGTTAGCCGGCTGCTGGGGCATGTGCCCACCCCTCCTGCGCGGTGGGGCCAGGTACTCGAACATAGACTGGTTGTGGGTGGACAGCATGTTTTTGAGGTCCGAGGGCATGGGGTCTGACCAGAAGAAGTCGTGGTTCAGTGCATCATCGCTGTCGATCCGCTGGGCGGGATCCAGCACCAGCAGCTTGTCGATGAGGTCGAGTGCATAGGGGTCTTTAACGTAGGCTTTCAGGCGATCCTTCACCTTGCGCTTCTGGCCCTTGGGGAGATCCAGCTTCTGGTACAGCTCGTATTTATCCACGTTCGGCCAAACCTGAGAAAGGGCAGGAAGGGAAGGTTGGGAAGAAATAGTTACGGAGAGGAGAGGACAAGCCATTTTTGATGCTAACACCCTCAGGCAAACCAGGGCGAGGTCTTCCGCGAGAACAATACTATTTTATAACCTCCAAGCTGTCAGACCTTGTTCCCACAGCATGAAGGAGGCCCTAAAGAGTGCACTAAAGCCTGGAGACATGTGGACAAGTCAGGACAGAGTCCTCCTGGTGTGGGAATGGCATGCAGGATGCTCCAGGATTTCTGGTTCTCCCACAAAAGAGCTACTAGAGAGCATGGCTCAGGCCAGCTGCAACAACCAGAAAGGTGAAGTGACAAAACTTATTGCTAAATAACAGCCTGGATGTATGTGGTACCTTTTATCCTTAGAAAGCAAAGCCGGCTGCAATCACCAGCACTTACCTCAACCCTGGTCTGGGAGCGACCACAGCAGGTATTTACATACAAAAGAAAACACCTTCAATGTATGTACGTGGTGTGTGTAACAGAGGCGTCAGGCCTCTGCAGCTGCCTGCACAACCACGTGCCTATCGCACCCCCTAGATTACAGCCCTGGCCAAGAGATCCCTCAGCTCGATCCCCCACAAGAGGGCAGGACAAGCTGCCGTTAAGGAGCTGAGAAAGGGCTGAGTGCTCACACCAGGCCCCAGCTGATGCCACAAATCACAAGCCAGAATTAAAGAGGCTTTTCAAGGTGACCAGTGCAAAGCGCCTGAGACAAACCCCTCAACACAAAACAAACAAAAAAAACCCTTCTTTAAGCAGAAATTCAGAGGGTGTTTATCTGAGAGAACCCCCAAACACAGACTAGAACAGATTTCTACAGGTAATGTTCTGTTCTTTCACACTCGGAGCAGCCAGCATCCTCCCTGTGCTCAAAAACGAGAACCCGACTCGCCCCTCCCAAAGGAGGTCTGGGAGGCCAAGTTCACCCTCTTATGTTTAGGAGGTTGAACGCAAGTAACATGACAGCTGTAGTTTACACAGAGCAGCAAGGAAAGTGCAGCGTCCCACTGTGCACTCGGCTCCAAGGAGGCAAATAGCATTTGCAGGAGCTTCCCTAGCCTCCCTACCAGCAGCGGGCACACTCCAGTGCCAGGAACGCGCAGCAGCCAGCGCGCAGGGAGAGGTCCAGGAGTGCCTGGTCCCAGACCCACAGGGCGGGGAAGAGGTCCAGGAGTGCCTGGTCCCAGACCCTGCCCACACCACCCGCTTTGCAGCTCTCCTCCCACTTTCCGCAGCTTGCCCACGCTCTCGCCCTCACCTCCGGCGTGATGGATCCAC